TCATACTTACAAAAACCACTTCAAAGAACTTAAAAAAAAAACACTCAAGTAAATGTGAGTCGACCCACATCCTATTGAAGAAAAGAAGTCTAAAAGCTACAAATACTTAGCATCAGCAAGGGTTGTAGTCTAAAAGAAATATGGAGAAAGATATCTCTTACTTCTAACATTCTTTACTTATAGGTAGAATTTACATCCCAAGTACATAGATCTCATACAAAGTCACGTTCATCCTTTCAATCTAGATCTAGATCTAGATTCATCTTAATTTAGCTGCCACCTTAAAATCCTAGCCGCCGTCATAGTAACTTCTTTTAATCCTTTGCTCCCTTTCAACTATTAGTAACTTACTATGCTTAATCTTTATACGATGATAACTAAGTAAGAACTTGTTGATCTTCAACAACATCTACTATCTTTGAAAGAAACTTGCTTATTTTCTACTTCTAGTCATGGCATACTAAGGATAACATCATATTTGAACTTTGTTACTTTGAACTTCTTTCTTAAAGCATACATATCATTCAACCTTAAGGTTTCTTCTTTACATGTCTCATTCAATATGTTCTCTCACTCATCTATTAGGTATATACTCCTTTCTTTGATCACCTTGGTTTTAATCCCAAATCGGTCGATAATTCTAATCGAGACATAATTTTCTATGGAGCTGCAATCTACAAGCACTCGACATTGTTATCCTCTTGATTGACCCATTAGACTTATTAGTCGACCTATTAGATACACCAATCAATCTTTTTGATAGTTGTGTGAAGCCATGCCATTTATCTCTAAAAAACAATAGCTATTACTAGTATTAGCCTTTGGTGCCTTTATTAGGAAGCTCTATTTCCCTGCTTCATTTTGTTATTGACTTGATAAATCTTGAGATTATAAATCCACCTTGATTTGTTGGTGCCTAAATTTTGATGTTTTGAACAACTTCCAATTTGATGGTTTGGCTTTCAATAGTAGAAATATAATCCCTTTTGCGCTAATATTTGTTGTCTCTGTAGTGTCAGTAATTCTTACAGAGCATCAATCTCTATTGGCATTGGTTGTTGTGCCATAGTATTGAATAGTAGCATAAGACTTTGTTCTATAGATTGTGTTCCATATTTTTTGAAATCTATAATATCAACCTTCTCTGTAATTCTTATTGCATCCTCAAATATTTATAAATCTCTTATTTCCACCTCTTGCTGAACCACAAATTTTAATCCTTGAACAAACTGATCTAGTATCTCTGCCTCTGAAATATTACCAATTTAGAAATATAAAGACTTGAATTGGAAGACATAATCTTGTACTGACTTGGATTGTGTAAAGTTAGCTGACTAATTGTGTATTATCTTGTCTACATTGATGGACCAAAATTGACTCTTAAACTCGATCTCAAACTCCTCCCAATTACAAAATCCACCTTGAGTACCATAACTTTGAACTCAATGTTGCCACCAAATGGCTATTACACCTTTCAAATAGCTGATGGCATATATAATTTCTTTGGTGGTATTTGTTCCAAATAGCTGGAAGTATTATTTCATACTAAAGAGCCATTGACATACATCTTCTTGTCTTAAAGTCCCAGAGTATGTATTGAACTTATTGAATTTTAGCCTAATAAATGTCAAGTCTCTTGTCTTAGAGGCTTCCATTTGCCCTTGCAGAGTAGCTATCTAGCCTATAAGGTGTTATATCTGAGTCTCTATCTAAGATTGCTTTGCCATAACTTCCATGCTACAATTTTCTTATTCAACTCTGCTATTGTAACACCTTCTCTTCTTCTAGTTGATATCTTAAAAGTAGCTCATAGTAGCCTCAAAAGAGTATTTGATGTGACTACAACAAATGACCTCCAACTAGACGGTGGCTATCAATACACTATCAAAGAATAAACTAAAACTTGCCTTGATATCAATGAAATGGGACAGGACTATGTCTAAGATCTAAGACTCTTTCAATCTATAGCAATATAAATCTCATTACAATGTAGGACAACGTAGATTAAAACAAAACTGAACAAATCTAAATAGAATAGAATATGAAAGGTAAAATAAAGCAAAAGAGAATAGAATAGAATTGAACACAAAAGTACAAAACCAAATTTTACTAAGAAAAAGGGACCAAAGCCATATGTGATTGGATATCCAAATGGCCTTGGTTAGTCCTATTTATATTTTGTCCAATTATTTTAGAATTTTCTAAAATATTCCTAATGATAAGTCCCATCTAAATAATCACCTTAAATATTTTTTAGAATGTTCCATGGTGGATCCCACATAAACCATCAATCTAGCTTCAATTCTAAAAACTTTTCAAACGTGGCTCTAATTATCTACTTTTATGTGTCAACAATACAAATATCTTATTCATATCCTATTACTTTTTTTTCCATTTTCAACCCCTTGTCTTTGTTCTTAGTGCTCATCTCATATCCCTACATCTCTTGTAGGACAGCTGAAGAAAATTGAACTTGATTCTCTCATTTGAGCTTCTAAGTCTTGCTAATAAGACCATGCAATACCATGGATAACACTAAAAAATTGTATGTTAGATTAAAATATGCTTCTTGCTACAAACTTTGAATTTAGTTTTTACAAATAACATACTCTAAGAAAGTCTTATAGCAATGAAGTTATATGAATCACTGATAGTATGGTATAAGGAGAAGGATTTGAGATTGCTCTATTAGATGCTATGGACAATATTAGTCTTGACAGCATATGGCTACTTTAAGTTTTTAGTTCCATGAAATTATAATAATATTCAATGCATTGTAGCTTATTTTTAGCCAAATGTGAGTAAAAAATCTAAAAATTTATTTGTACTACTATATAATGACACTCACAAAATTGTAGTATACTTGGTGGGCAGAGCTTGAATATTCAAAATAATAAGTATGATAACTTGGAAGTACCTCTAAGACATATACAATAGCATATACATATTTTTTTTATTTGCTAGTCAATGTAGACATCTATAAGCTTATTCTTCTTATGGATCACAATTTGTGTGGCATAAGAATCTTTATCTCCATCCCACAATCCAAGATGGCAATCATCAAAATCTTTATCTCCATCCCACAATCCAAGATGGCAATCATCAATAAGATTATTACCTTCTAGGAGTCCCTTATGGAATACAAGGGTTGTTGCAATATTTCAATCTAGTTTGGAGTCAAGATACATCTTTCATTATAGAAAAGTATGTATCATATTTCTAATGAGATGAAGAAATGGTAATGGCTATAGCCTTTCGCAACTTTATTCGTAATCCTTTAGTATGTAGACATCAAATTGTGCTCAAAAGCTAGATTTTTCTAAAGCACCGCAAGGTATTTGCATTGTACTACCTATGGTAATGAAGATTATAGCATTTTTGCTCATGACATTACAGATGAAAAATTAAGGATCCATTACATTAACAAAAAGATCAAAATACACTATTCAAAAGTAGAGACAACCACAAATTCAATACATATAGTAGACTTATTGGACTCTTTCATCTCATTAGCTCTTCTATACCAAACAAAAGTCAAGTCATAGGCCACAACCAACATATGTTTTTCTCTTCATCCATGCCTCCAAAGATTAGAAGCAATCTTGATGTATTTCTTTATAATTATACTCTCTCTCAAGTCTTGGCATCTTGTAATTGATTTAAGTTAATAGTTTTCAAGTGGTTTTTTAATTAACAAAACACTTACTTTGGAATTTCTTAAACAAGTGGAAGAAAGCAACTATGAGATATTACAATGATTGTGGCTATAAATTCCATCCATGTAAGATTGATTTGAGACTTAAGAGTAGAGAAGCATAATAGTGGTGCATCATTTCCTCTTATTGTAACAACATGATTATAAAGCTTATACAAGCTTTGTTAAATGAATTGCCTAATAGCAAGTTTGATTGTTGTTTTATGTACAAAATATGAAATCGTGTCAACCTTTGCTCATGTAATAACAAGGCATAGATATCTTGATTATTAAAATGGAGGCAGTGCTGTTGCAAACATAGGGATTTCATATTCCTATTATTCTTTCACTACTAACAATAACAAATCAACATAAAACAATCAAGTTGTAGGTGCATTGATCCTAATACCATTGATGCACCAATTCAACTTGCAAAAACTAAACTCAAAGTTTGCGGCAAGATGCATATTCCAAGCCAACATATAAATTGCTAATATTATCTATGGTCTTATGAGGTGCCATGAGCAAGATTCAAAGGCTTAAATGATAGAATCAAATTTAGTTTTCTTAGATTGCCTTGCAAGAGGCCTTTGGATGAAGGATGGACACTTGGAATGAGGAACAAGTTCAAAGAGTAAAGAGATCAAGACAAGGAATAAGGACAAAGGCAAGGAACAAGGGACATGGGTCAAGAAGGTGTAATGATGGTATTGACAATAGATCGATTTAATAAAAGCTTAGGTCACTTAAACATTTCCTTGTAATTATAATTACATAGGAATCATATAGAAGAATGAGGTTTTTGTTTTTGTTTATCCTAGATGTGTTATTGATCTTCTCAAATTTATAATGTTCAAAATGTAGTTATTCTTCACCAGTTTTAATATCCAACCTTTTTGTTTTATTAATTCAGAATGATCAGATATAAATATACTAGCTTATTATGTACTTCACACACAAGGCCATGACATCAGCAGATTATAAGTAACATTCAAGAAAAATCTGAAGAAAGGAAGGTTTCCAGCATTTCTGTGACCTAGTCTCAGAAAAGAAAGAATGCATATTCTAGCAAGTTAACATATCTCAATATATACTCTACTAAAAATTCTTGAACATCTCAAGAGCACAAAGGGTACCGATTGTTGAGGTATCATTGATGGATGCCGGCATGTGTTTTTATAAGTTTACATTTTGTCCTTTTTAATCATATGATCATGTGAACACAAAAGTCTCAAACATGGACTCAATTTTGGGCAACAATTGACTGACATACAGACACACTATTTCATTGCCAGAATGAGAATACTTGCTACAAGAACTGACACATTTATTTCCTTGAAGTGACTGAAAGGAACACATGTGGATGAATCAGACCTTCCACCCTGGTCCACTAAAGAATATTTCAAACAAACTAGGAAGTCCTGTCTCACCTTGATGCAGCATCTTTTCATGTGTCTTTCATATATTTTACAACAAAAAATCTATTTCCATCCTCTGCAATGTGCATCACCAAGCTGAACACAGAGCATTGAAGGTAGCTTTTCTGGCGAAGGATGAACGTACCTCGTTCTCCCAATGAAATCTCCTGACTCACAGCAAAAGGGGAATGTGTATTTCTCTTTACAATCGTTACCCTGTTATTTTGCCTAAGCAAACCCAAAACCTTCTGCGACATGACGCTCTGTAATTGCCAGTAACCGTGCACACATGATTTCATAAGTTGGGTAGGCTGGAAGAACCAGTTGATAGAAGCATGTATGAGCAGTCGGCAACCAACTTATATCCGTATGAGCCCTATGGATATGGAACTTTGATGAAAGTCCCGCAAAACCTTCTGCTGGCAAGTGTACTACTGAAGTTGAGAAGAAGAGAAGCCTTCTACGCTGGTCTGGGGCCATCTTCTCCACAATCTGTCAATCCACGCTTTTATTAGATATTACATGCCCGCACACGTTACCAAAAAAAATTCCGGGATAAGCATCCAGACAAAGAACTTAATTAGAAAGAAAAAACTCTAGCAAGGTGCTCCAGTATCTCGGAACCTAATGAAAACTAGAACATAAAGCAGAAACAAGCCTGATGTAGGTACAAGCAATGACATGACTCTAAATCCAGGCGTACTGTTACATGTACAGATGACAACATTTTACGCTGAAAGGCGATTCTCAATACCAAACCTAGAGTTTAGTTTGAGAAATCATTAAAAATATGCCAAATCAATGCCAAGCTATCTTCACCTGCCAGAACCAGATTATGTAATCGTCGGTTGCAGAGTAGTCATGGTATTCAGTGTGTGCTTTCCAATCTTCAAGACAAATATTCCTATCCTTTCCATATAGCATCAGATCAAGATCCTCAGGTGTCAGCGCTCGTATAAACTGTTGATGGGTGGTGCTGTTAAGAAGCAAATCTGAGAAACCTTGTGAAAATGATTTGACCTGTTCCGCAACAGAAGACACTAATCGCCGCTGGACCAGCAATTCAACGAAGTGTCTGCGATTTTCACTAGTCACCACCATATCTTTTCCACCCAGGCAGAGTTCCATTGATTTGTGGGAACCCAATTCTTCAACTTCACTGACAAAAGTTAGGCCCAAGATATCGGTATCAATCAAATCAGCATCCAACTCCAAAATTTTCTTGCAGCTTTCGTACAGTGTTGGGTCAGCATCCTTTGCATCTTCCCACAGAACTGGCAGCCCCGCCAGCTGTTTGAAGAAAGAGAGAGCAAACACCACATCCATTTGCACACGGTGCATCAATGCTAGAGCAATTACTCGCCCACAAAACCTAAAGTATGTAAGATGTCCAGGGTTCACTCCAGATGCTGCAAAGTTCCAAAGATATTCAAGTCAGAAATTACGTAAATAAAATGGAACACTGGACAGTCACCTAGCTCTTGGCATAGAAATAACAAATGATAGCAGAAGCTGCTTCACGGGTTTCAGAAGCTAAATACATTAAGGGAAGAGTGGAGAAAAGCTCGACATACCAGGATTTGGGAAAAACCTCCGTCTATCGTTGGGACAGGCCAAGAAAAGGGCGTTTTGCGGATTGAAAATCTCTCGGCATATCATTGAGAACCACTCACGTAATACCCCTGGTCCAGTGGCTTCCTCGGTCGCGAACTCCACAGAGATACCTCCCTGAAGCACTTCTGGCTCAACGTACGCGAGTTGCTCAAAAGACTCCGTCAAAAGCGTTGCTCGCTTCACGACTACTTCTTGTCGCTCATCATGGTCATCCTGAGGTTCAGGAAGCATAGCCATCACCAGACGTCTCTTTGATTCAAAATCTAATAATGATTTGTGTTCCAATAACCAGAAATCTTCGTCCTGCTGCAGCCACAAGGGTTTTCAGAAAAAAGAATATGAATTTAGAAAAACATTCATGTCCTTACCAAGTATGTGAAGTACCGATGAAGTTCACGACACTACGATAAAGAGTACGAAATATATTAGTACAGGCACACGACCACCAATGAAGAACACTCTCCATTAACAAACATCTACCTGTTGGATAATTTGGTGTCTTGCTACGGAACACATGGTCAATCTCCTCATTTTAGGAATTCAAGGCTATAAAACAGGTCATGACAAATTCCTAACTGCATTCCTGGCTAATACTGACTGCTTCTCGAAGTACGGTTGAGGCTTTTGTGGAGTAATCACCTGCCACCGAGATTGCCTAATTAGAATATTAAGCGAAACCCGCCGCACCAGTAGCATCTCCATAAGGTCTGCCATCGCCCCCTCATAAAGCTTTGCAATGGCGTGCAGTCCCTTAAGAACAACAAGAAATGGAGCCAATCCAAAGGGACGATCCTCAGATACAATCGAATCTGGCCCATACGACTCATTTTGTCGTTCTGCGACAAGCCCAACAGCTTCCAGGCAGCTGTCAACCTCTAGCAGGAGATCTTTGAACAACTGCCGCAGCCAACCGTGTGATCCAATTTCAGCTCCCACTTCAGCTGCTATGTTTCTTGTAAAATCATACGCTGCAGAAATATCAATAAGAGGCAAAGAGAAGGTCAAAGTTTAAGGTCGAAACAAGCACCTACGCGACTTCCGAAACCAGCTTCCACAGGAACACTAAACAACTCAATTTAAATCTGTTTTGAAAATAGAGTTGCAGCAGGACCTTAAAAGGCATTGGCATCACTAACTGGAGACTAAATTGTCCATATTCATTCTAAAACCTCTCTAAGAGCAACACAGTAAAGATGACTCCATAACCCGTCCATAACACTGTCCCTAGCCAGACCTAATCCTTTCGAGGGCTGTAGCTAATATTTAAAAAGCATCCTATCCGAAATGATACGGAATATCTCACCTGACAGAAGTCCTTCAGAAACCACAGCATTATCAGTATTACAAGGGCACTCAGCAAGGACAACTGCAGATTCTTTTGCAATGCTTCCAGATCCAGAAGTATCGATTCCCTTACAAACCTCAATAGCTTTACAAAGCGGTATCACAAATGCAGTGAAGTCTTTAGCTTCCTTCACATATGAAGAAAAGCTGACAGGTGATTCCTTGCTCGCGTAAGCCTTAGCAGTACATCGCAAATTTTGAGTCAACCGAGCAGAGAGCTCGTTCACAAAAGGGGCAAAGTCTTCCACAATTTTTTCTGCTTTAGCTTCATTGAAGTATGGACTTCCATGGGCTACTCCCACAGTTTCAAGCAGTCGAGCCAATGTTTGTCGGCAGGATGCATACAGATTATGATTAGGAGCACTTTTGTTTAGAAGTTTGCAAAAATCTAGAAGCACTGGTGCGCAATGGCGGTGGATGCTGGCGGGCAAATACTCATCATTTGAAGATAGAAATAGGGTAATGGCATCTTCAGCACATTCTCTATTGCTCTCCACAGGAGATAGGAGCAACATGACTAAGGCAGATGTTGCTCCGGCCAGCTCGAAAACCTGTCATTATCAAGTCCAAAAGAAGTTCAGAGCTAATGATCCTAGTGTGTCAGATTGATACGTGATATCACCTGCACTTCTAATGCAAACAATGGATGAAAACTCATGCTGATTTTTAAATCGATCTACCCGTTGCTATCAAAGATCACATAACACATTTAAGCATGTAGTCTTTCACGAATCGCTGCTCATTCATTAGAAAGCAATCCTTTCATAAAACAACCTGCAAGTACAACTAACATACAACGGCACAGATCATCTTGAAACTATTGCCGAATTTTTTTGCGTTCATCATCAGTGCAAACAATACAGTAGAACCAAAGCAAAAGAAAGAGAAACTAAAAGACACTAAAGAACAGAAAAGTCTCACCTGCATGTGCTCAGAGACAGGCACAGATTTCACAGCCATTTTCAAAAATTCCTGCACGCTTGCTCGCACACAATCTTGTGAATGCATCAGCTTCAGACCAAGCTGTTGGTCACCAACATCACACATATGCCTAATAGTGGCCACAAGATCATTGATAAGCTGCCACGAAGCAGGAAGAGCGGTACTCCTCATCCGAGCAACTAGGGTCAGTGTGGCATCATTGTAAAATTGGCAAGACTCCAATGTCTGGTCGTGCTGGAGCTGCAGCCGACCAAAAATAAGTCTTTGTTCTGAGACAGGAAGTCCAGTCTTCGCGAAAATTTGTTGATGAACTGACTCCACCAGATCAGATGCATGAGCGTGCAGTACAATCGTACGACCATATGTTCGAACAAAGAATTGAAGACGTGCAGGGCTTAACTCCATTGGTGAGGAAGAGCATCCATCAATCCTCACTAGTCTCTCGTCATTCATCCGCCCAGCTGAGGTTCCAACTGTTAGATTAGAAATGCTGCTGATGCTGCTCGCAATAAAATCACCAGGTCGAGTCATCAAAGTACTCGAATTCCTGTGATTTCCGCTGATAAGCTCCTCCTGACAATCAATTATCCCATCTCTTTCCAGCTCTTTAGCAGAAAACTCGTCATCAGCTGTTTCTCCTTCTATCTGTACATCTGATGATGCAAGATCATCAGTCCTCCCTTCATTGCTCCCTGAATGGCCAGCCTCCACTTCAACACGCCCTACATCATTGACGCCTAAAGAAGACAACGATACTCCGGTCGATGATCTGTTTGTCGGATCGCTTGTCAAAGTGAACTCATACGGATTGCTACCAGAATCAACGACCATTGTAGGCCCACCCAAGACAACCTGAAGCGTGCTGCCATGGTCCTCACTGACCTCTTCAAGCCTGCGGTCCTCTTCTGCTCTGCTGCTATCCTCGATTTTGTCAGGGGGTTCCTTACTTGACTCGCCAATTTCTTCAGACGAACTCAGATTCCAATTAGGCTCGTCTTCCCAAGTGGAATCGTCGTCAAGGGCAGCGTTTCCATCTTCTTCGCGCATTTGGCTCTCTCCATCGAGAGGCTGAGCTTCAGCTGCACCTACTAATAATCCTATCTCAAATCTTTCCCTACCACTGGACTCTGTCACACTCCCTTCCTGCACATCTTCCCTGGTCTCTCTTCTCGCCCGTACCTGCAATAGTGAGCTTCAATATGAAATGAGTTTATACATCGAAAGCAACAGTACAACATCTGAGCAGTCGACTGAGAAACGAAAAACGGAGCACCGCGTGTGATGGACGTGTACACTTTTCACAAGATGTTATTGACTGAACTTGGGTGCATTAGCAAAGAAAATTCCATCAACCTGGGAGGTCGCAGACACGGATGATTCAGCCACTCCTATTTCATAATCGTCCAGTTTGCGCTTACTGGACGTTGATCGCAAGCCCACGGGAGACACCAGGGCCTGTGCTCGCGCAGATGACATAAAGTGCGCCTCTCGATCCTGTATTTCTAATCCCCGCTCCAAGGTCAACTCCCGCTCCCTAACAGTGTGACTCCGCTCTGCCATGACAGGATTATGCAAGAGAGCAGCATGTATTTCTCGTTGCGTCCGCTCCACCCGATCATCCTCCCTCAAAGATATGACTTCCATGTTGAGTGACGAAGACGCCGTTGAGGGCCGATTGTGAACGCGTGATGATTGTACCGACGTTATTTGTCGCATGCACCTAAACAACCCCCAAATGGACAGAGCCAAAACCGATAAAACCATCTATGTCACCAATTCCCGTCCCTCTGTCGAAAATCGGAGCCCTTTCCATTCCTGATTACTCATATCCGAGCATCTGATACACCTACATCACCGCGACCACATATCGCTTTCATGCCAACATAGATTTCGCTCCAGTAACCAGTATCAGGCGTTCAGGGCCTAAGCTTCAACAGCTGTGACCTGGCGCCCGTGCTCAGTCAAGAACTACACTTCCTTACTCACCGGGCGCAAGATCTACTTGGGACTCGTTTGTGGAGACAAGATTCAGATAGGCCCTTATAAATATGCCACCGTAACTGTCAGCCTTCTTATCGCCAGAGATGAAAAGCGTCTGCCTGAATTGAGGGCAGATAATTCAGCAACACTGGGAAGCCAGGCACAATAGGGCTACATATAATCCACCAATTAAGAGCAGAAAGGCACTAAATTACGGTTGCACAAAGACTCCAAGAACACCACCTCTTCCAACATGATCACAACACCCCGCAAGGCCGGCCGCACGAATCCACATGAAAACCAATACTCACGCGAAACACACCATGCGTTACATAATCTAAGAATGCACTAAAGTAAACTACGTCACTTGCACAACCGGATCCCTTCTCCGATATACCAAGCATCAACTCCAGCATACGCCACTTTACCTCCCTGAGCCAGAGCATACACAAGACGACGCGTTCCTACCCGCCAGACTCGCTCTTTCTCTTGTCTCCAATTTGCTAACACAAAAGCCCCGCCTGTCGATCACTGCTCACTATTTTCAAAAACACCTAACTACTCCCAAAAACACCTTGCAAATCATGCACAGGCACCACTCTCTCCATCAACTCATACCACCGAGGTTGTCAACCCCCTCGACACAACCGATGATCATCGCAACAGACATCGACCTTTCCCACCACCTCAACTTGCACCGACGACACTCACTACCACCGTCGGTCCCTGCCTACACTCAAGCGCTCCTCCAGCACCTTGTCTTCCTGAAAATCACCATCGATATTCTCTTACATCCACCGCAATTGCATACCCTCATACCCCTCCACTGCTGCCCTCTCTCTCGAAACACCCTCTGCAAATCTTCACCACAGACAGAAACAACTTCGCCACACACGCAAACAGACAGACAAAGGAAAAAGGAAGCGTATGGCGTCCTTCCCCGACTGCATTTCACAGGGGCTCTCTCTCTCTCTCTCACGCGCGCTATCCAGGGTCCGACACAAAAACGACTACCACAGAGCCACGGGAAACAAAGAGAGGACGCAGTTTTGGTAGAAGAGTGAGTGGGGGAGGGGGGGCTGGGGGGGCTCCGCAACGGAGACGGAAGCCTAACAACACAAACAAAGGGCAAAAGGCAAAAGGGACGAAAATGTCATGTAAGCTTTGGCTTAACTTGGGGGGTGGGGGGTGGAGCTGATGAATAAGGTGCTGTTGTGTTGACCCCGTTAGCAGCGTCACCCTCGATACTATCACATCCCCATCCCTCTCCCCCTCTCCCACTATATATCACACACCCTCACCCACTCTTTCACACTTATAAATGTAAATTGACCTCCTTCTCCTCTCTAGACACTCTTTTGTTTTTGGTCATGGTTGGGTTGTAGTTAATCCTATGTGCTTGCTTAGTCATGGCCTCCTTTCCTTTTCTTTCTCTTTTTTTCTTTTCCTTTTCTTCTTTTCTTTGCCATTCATGTTCTTGCATTTGCTCTTCCACTTCCCTCTTCCACTTCCCTTCCAAGCTTTTCAATCTTCGTTTTGCCATCACTTTTTCATTCTCACATGATTTCTACTATCTTAGTCTCTTTTTCTTTTCTTTTTTTTTTTTTTTTTTCCATAGGATTTTTTTTTCAATTTAAACTCAAATGATCATTTAATTTAATTTTTTAGTTGATGGACATTTGTTATTTTCAAAAAATACATAAACTTAACATTTTTTTAAAAGCAAGTGATTAATAAAAATATAATCTTAAAAAAAATATAAAGGTAATATGCTATAACTACTTCTTCTTTTTGAAAAAAAATCTAATTATCAAAATCAAATAAATCTATTACAAAATAAAGTTATATGAATAAGCTTAATTATATATTTATCTATAAATAGGAATTATTATTTTAAACTATTCATATATACATAAACCATACAAAAATATCAAAAATGAAAATTAAAGGTTATTACAAAAATTCTTGAATAAGCAAAAATTTATTTTAACTTATTTACAAAAAAATATTATATCATAATTTAAAAGTAAAAATAAAATAAAATAAAGAAAATAAATTGGATACTAAGAATACTTTGAACATGCTAATTTTGTGAAGAATCAAGTTGTATACTCATAAAGATAAGTTCTTTTAATAAAAATATTGTATATGTATTTAAAACTCATAATTTGTTTTATTCTGAACTTCACCTACAATCTTAAAGAACATATGATACTTACACTTCATAATTTTGGTGCTAATCAACTTAGCCTAAGCTATTTTAAGGTGGATATTTACCTCTTGAAACATGATTTTTAAAATTTTTCAATCTTATGTTCTTTAAGATTGTAAGTGAATTTCTGAATTTTAAATATCTATTCAAAATTTGGTCAGAGGTTTGTTTTCAAAAATTAGATAAAATGTAGTTTTTAAAAAAAAATTGAATTTCTCAATCAAATAGATACTATTTTGGTGCTCTAAGGTGGTATAAAATAAGACAATCTAAAATTTTATATATATATATATATATATATATATATATATATTTGTATGTTAAAAAGTGAAAGAAAAATTAAATTTCTCCCTCTAAAATCTTCAAAAATCTTTCAAAATTTTGATACAAACTGAAATTGTAAGTAAAAAAACTAATATTAGTTAGAATGTGTAAATTCAATAAATATTATCAAATGACATTTTTTTTTGTTTTTTTTTATTTTTTATTTTTTGTTGAATTTTATTTTAAAATAATAATGTGTTTTACATTTAAAAAAAGAAAGAATGTATTTTTTAGAAAACAATAAAAAATATTAAAATAGTTGCTTGCCTTCTAATGATATAAAATATTTGTGATTTTATTTTTAAAAATAAAAAAAAACACATAGACATATACAAAACACAAAAACAGGATTTAAAAAAATAATTAGTTTCAAAATAAAATATTAAGAATTAAAAATAGATTTTAAAAATAGTATAATTTTAATTTTCTAATAGAACTTATAAACTATTGAAAAATCAATCGAAACATATAAATGTTCACAATCTTGTTTAAATCAATAATATTTCTAAGTCCACTCTTTCAAAGTAGATAATAAAAAATAATTACTAAATTTTTTAAAAGATAGAGTTTGTTCTATTTAAATTATTTATATATACTTTTTTTGTAATAAAAAGTGGAATGATGTTGCACTTATTAACTAGTTTTAATAGAATAAACAATAAAATGACTAATGTTTTGTTAAATTCAATTAATTTTACAATATTAAAAATAAATTAACTTTGCTATTAAGTGTGATAATTAATTCTTTAGATCTTATTTCAATTTTTTTTAAATGACGTTATTATATAAATTATTATATATATATATATATATATATATATATATATATATATATATATATATAATTTATGGAATCATATATAAAAATAAAAATAAATTATATAAAAATTATAATTATATGATTAATTATAAGAAAAATATTAGTTATTAATATACTAATATATATAATTTATAAAAAAAATAATGTAAAAAGAAACTTAAATAAATATTTTAGGAGTTTTCGTATGAAAAGATTTTTAAAAGAATATCAAATTAAAACATATTAGAATGATATCTTCAAAAATAACAAAATATAAATTTGAAAATAATTAAAATATTAATTTTTAATATTATAGTATATCAATTGTATAATATATGATATCAATATTTGTGAAATATTAGAAGCAAGCTAGCAAAGTCCTTAATAAGTATTACTAGCAAAAAATGAAGAAAACAATTATGTTATAAAAACTTTTATTTTGGAGAAATAAAATCTTTAAAATAAAAATTATGCACATATTGTGTATAATTAATCATAGTGCCAAACATGTATTTAAAATTATTACTTAAGTGATAGATTTTATATATAATTAAAATAATATAGATATTTAGAATATAATTATGTATGAGCATTAAATGTGAATTAAAGTGTATATTTTATAATCAAAATAGATTAAAATTAAGAATTAAAATAAAAATAAGAAACTTAAATTTAATATGGCTATTTGACGAATGCAAAAAGAATGATCTTTAGTATGATGAATGTATTAATGAAAAATAAAAATAGATGCAAAAATATATACTATTTAATTAGGAGCTACATAGCATCATTCTATAGGACCTTTAATACATGTCTAATTTGTAAGACACATGTCTTAACTTGCAAGACACATGTTTTAACTTGCAAGGCAAATTTTTCATATATGCTCCTCATGGTTAGTTTGTATTACAAATTATCAATATGTATAATACATGGCCAAGTTGTTGGCCAAATCTTCAACCTACCATTTACTTATACACATGTATAAAGATGAAACTATATCAATAAAGCTTTAAAGAAGCTACTCTATAAAGTATTATTAAATTAATTTATTTTTATATATTTTTATCTATTTATATTATTTAAATAATTATTAGAATGAATATATATATATATATAACATTATCCCTTCTTCTAAAGACAAGTTCCATAAGTAGTGGTGATTACACGTTGATAAAGTCCAAGACATGACAAATTGTATTTATTACATACTTTGATCTTTGTTTCCTTTAAAGGTAGTTGATAGGTCATTTTAGTGTCAATGACAAGAACTTGATAAAAGTAAGTAAACAAGTAAGACTTTCTCAAAGAAGTATGACAAAATAAAAATAAGAAGCATATATATTAAAAAGAAGTTAGAATGGCTATTGCCAAAAGATAAGAAAACTAAATACTCTTGAAACTAGATTAGAAGCTAGAAAAAAATAGATAAGAGTGAAGAAGGCTTTATTTTTCTCTCTATATATATGATCTACTTAAGAGTTGTATGGCAATGTTTTATAGGACTTCCAACATGTATTGACTTTGCAAGTGTGAGTATAAATTTCTCCCTCATCCCAAATTTGTCACGGCCATAATCATGTAAGCTAATAATTACATATAGAAATAGGTAGAAGTAAGTAAAAGTAGATAAAAGTAAATTAATTCTATAATATTTAATATAGAAGCTTCCTAGAAACTTCCTAGACGTTGCTTTGACTTCATAGGTGTCTTTAATTGACTTTTTGGATTAGAAACGTGGTCAACAAGTTGGCCATGTGCCACACATGTTGTTAGCTTGAAGATCAAGCTAACTATGTGGCCCACACGTAGAAAAACTTGCCTTGTAAGTCAAGGCATGTGTCCTACAAAGTCAACACATATTGGAGGTCCTATAGAACGTTGCCACGTAGCTCCTAATTAGATAGTATATATAGAGACAAGAGTGAAGGCTTCTTCACTCTTGTCAACTCCTTTCTTACTTCTAGTCTAGTTTCAAGGGTCTCTAGTTTTCTTGTCTTTTGGCAATAGCCATTCCAGTTTCTATTTCAATATATATACTTGTTTATATATATTTTGTTACCTCTCTTTGAGTGAAGGCTCGCTTGTCTGAATTGTTTTTCATCGAGTTCTTGTCCTTGACAGATTGACAAAAGTACATTTACAATATCAGAGCTTTGTTTTTTCTTGAGTAAGAGTGGATTACCCCTTTCTCTTGACAAGACATAAGCGTATTGGAAGTTTGCGGATTACCCACTTCTAAACTGATATTGTTCTTAGTATCTTCTTTGTTATCAAGTCTTTCTTTTCTTTTGTCTTGAGCAGTATCAAACAAATTTTTCTTCTTAGTGTTATTATGGCAGAGCTTGTTGAAATGAAGAGTGCAATGGCACAAATGCAAGAGCAAATGAGGGAGTTAATGCTTGCGATGCATCAACTCAATTCACCAACACAGGAAAGAACAAGAATAGCAGAAAGTGGAGATATAGAGATGATCGGAGCTGCTTCAACATCTACAACAAATCACGTTCCTTTTCTAATTGTACAACACCCTGTAAGCACTAGAGAACCAAGAATTGCCTTACCCGAGAAATTTGATGGTACGAGATCAAAGTTTCGAGGGTTCATCAATCAAGTACAATTGGCAATTGAACTTCAACCGCAAAGCTATCCAACTCCAGGATCACAAGTCAGGTTTATTGGTACTCTACTTTCTGGTTCTGCATTAGCGTGGTTTTCGTCTTTTCTTGAACAACGAAATCCAATATTGGACAATTTGGAAGCTTTTTTGGCGGAGTTTCGATCTATGTATGGT